TTCGGTGACTGGGGTAATCGGGATGGGTGTGTCAGAGGCAGTGCGGTTGGCGAAGGACAGAGCAGGGTTTAGGGCTGTTGTGCATAGGGTCGCTATGAGTCGCAAAAGACTCGACGGCACATAACAACAACAACAACAACAATCTCTTGAGAAGCTGCTGGTAGGTTTGAATAAATGGAGAAACCGTTGGGTTAGGAGCACAACTCGATAAGTACTATACCACTTGAGCTCCCTGGTGCTCCCAGAAGCATTCTTCAATCAATGATACTTGAGTTCCTTTGTTCTGCCGGTGAGATAGCTCTGAGATTTTCAGTACGCCTTCTCCCAGGGTTCTCCAACAGACTTGAGTGCCTGATGCCTGCAGCTTGTTGACAACAAACAAACTTTCTAGTGCCTCCTTTTTCCTCCCTGTCTCACTTCCCAAGGTAGATAGAACAATGGTCTCCTAAAAATATCCACACCCCTATACCTGGAACCTTTGATTATGCTACTTTTCATGGCAAAAGGAACTTTGCAGCTGTAATTAAGTTGAAGATCTTGAGATACGGAAATGATCATTGATTTCTGCGTGGGCTCAATGTAATCATAAGAGTCCTTATAAGGAAAGAATCTTAAAAGGAGAAAATGGAAGCAGAGATCAGAGTGGATAAAGGTTTGAAAATGCCACACTGCTAACTTTGAAGGAGGAAGATACCAGGAATGTAGGAAAGGTCTGTGGAAATGGAAAAGGCAAGGAAATGGATTCTCCACTAGAGCCTCCACAGGAAGCACAGCCTGTCTTTTGATCCATGAACTTCCATTTCTGATCTCCAAAACTTCGGTTAATAAATTTGTTTTGTTTTACACTACTAACTTTGTGATAAGTTATTACTGCAGCCATAGGAAACCAATACACTTCTCTACTCCCCAAATGGTGTTTCCTGGGATCATCCCCCATGTAAATTGCCTATGAACAAAACATTCTTGTCTCAGAGTTTGTTCTTCTACAGATCATGTTGAGTTACAGCAAGCGATAGGGTTTCTCACCCAGAGGATCATTTAATTTTTTTTCTCTTTTAGTTTAAAATAGCATGGTTTGTTTCTTTTTCTCTTTCTCTCTGACTTTCCTCCATTTCATTGATGATGAGTGTACACACAGTAAAGCATGCACTGTTCAACAGTTTTTACATGTCCATATGACCATTTTTTTTATTATAGCCATGAACATCAACGTAGGCGTCAGAACAGCAGCTGCACTTCTAGATCAATTTTATGAGAAAAGACGACTACTCATCCTGTCTACACCCACAGCCCGAAATCTTCTTTATCGGCTGCAGCTGGGAATGCTTCAGGTGAGCCTTGGGGCAGAGACAAGGTGAGAGAGAAACCTCTGACAGGAAGCACCCAGGCATTTCACTAAAAGCAAAGGCTAGATCCAATGCCTAATCCATTTACTGTCAGTTGCAGGAACTGGCACTTTGGAACTGCCACCATTTATTTCAGATTCTAGGACATAACCTGATTTACATTGACTCCGAAGAGCTAACCTAGTCATTTTCTAATTAATGATGTTTGTATTTACTACTGTGCCTAATTGGCATGCTATCCGGACCCAAGCAAAGAACAATTGTCTTGGCTGAACCTGTCCATGAAATATCTGGACTAGATCAGTCAGTCAGTCATCTGTCCAAATGACTGGCCCAAGGAATAACAGATGTCTCAGAAGTTTTAGGCTCTAGATTTGACTGTAAGAAGCTTCTTTTAAAGATCTTCACCCTGAAACCTACAGCATCCCTTTACAGCAGGAAGTAGCTAAGAGAATACGCTGTCCCCTTTTCCCTATGAATCAGGGTGAAGTCTCTCTCAAGGAGGGGTGATAGGGAATGGCAAAGTACACACTGACAAAGGAGATTAATCAGAACTGGCTTTGACAAGCACTGTGGCAATTGGACTATTAAAACAGACTTTCAAGGGGGGGAAGAAGAACGAACTGGGGAGGAGGATAGAGAAAATAGTGCAACAATGAATGAATGAAAACCCCAAATCTCTGTAAATGTTCATTAAAATTTAAAAAATTAATAAAAAAGAAGCTTCTTTTACCCTACTTAGAGACTACTATTACTGCTTATTGACACTGAGTCTGAACTGACTCAGATAAGGGAGCTCTGGTGGCCAAGTGGCAAGAAGCTGTGCTGCAATCCCAGATGTTTGTGGTTCAAATCCACCAGATGCTCTGCTGGAGCAGGAGGGGCAATCTTCTGTGCCAGTCAGATTTGATTTGACGGTACACACACATACAAAAATAATAGAATTTTATAAAATATAAAAAATAAGAAGCTGCACTTCAATCTCAGAGAACTGACTCAGAGCCAACCCTCCAGCAGGTTTCTGGGAGGCTCTAAATTACATGGGAGGAGATTGCCCATATTTCTCCCATGGAGCTGGTGGTGAATTCAAACTGCCAGAGAGGTGCTGCCTTTGGGTTAGTAGTCCAACTCCCTATGGACTAATCCACCAGAGCTTCCTCCTCAGAAACCAGCAGCCAGCCATGTATTACAACAGAGTTCTCAAAGTCCCTGGAACAGCTGCACAAAAATAACCTGGAAACTTGTTATAAAGGCAAATTATCCTTAAATGCTTGCCAGTGGACATCTAAAGTGCAATAATTGCTCCCTTTCTTCCACTTGTCTATAACACAGAAGATAAAAGACAAATGGAAACAATTAGTCCAAAGGATTAAGGGGCAGAACATCAACCTCAATGTCCCTGAGACCAGAATTAGATGATGCCTGGCTACAGCTGCTGCCTACCCTGCAAAGGAGCAAAATAGAGGGTCTCAGATGGAATAAGAGAAAAATATGGAACAAAATAAAAATCATAATCAAAAGACTGAGTTTACTTATCTGATAGAACCAGATGTAACCCCTGAGATTATGGCCTTTAGTCACTCTCCAAACCTGGGACTGAACTCATCTCCTTAGGTGGACTTTTAGCCCAGCAATGGACAAGCTTACAGGATGAACAGTATCTTTGAGTTAACCTCGTGATCTCAGCTAACTATGTGAGATCAAAAAGGAAACAGTAGCCTGAAGATGAAGCTTAGAAGATAGGTGGAGATAGGAAAGAAGGAAGAATGGAAATTGTAAACACACGGAGGAAATTAGAAGAATGCTATTGCATTGTGGGGACTGCAATCAATGTCATGAAACAAAATATGGATGGAACATTGAATGAAAAACCAGTTTGCTCTGTACAGTTTCATTCATATATCAATAAAAGGTTTTTTAAAAAATGCATATTCTCAAGTTTCTGCCCTAGACCTGCTGTAGCAGAGTCTACATTTTAGCATGATCCTCTTGAGGTGATTTCTAAGCCCCTTGAAATTTGAGAAGCACTTTTCTAGAGAACTCACCCTTTTCACCTGTGTAAATCTTTTAGCTACAAAACAAGGCAACAGCCTCTGATAGAAACTGAAAGCATAGAGCCTACAACTTGATTGGTATTTGTCCTAACAACGGTTTATAGTAAGAGTGATTAAATGCTAGGGGACAGGATATACCCTGTGTATTGGTCATGGTGCTGTACTTTTTTTTTTTTTTAAAAGAAGTATTTCATCCCCTTATGAAATGTTGCAGCACCACTCTTCTCACCCTCTCCCCATGTTTACTGTTCAGTTCTTCCTTTTTTATCCCCGCTTTTCCTATCCCTACTCTGACCTTCATCTCTGGGCTAGTGTTGCTCTTTTGAGCTCACATGGTTAATTTTAAAAGAAGTGAATACCTGCCAGTGGTATTGCTTACCTCAGTGTTACTCCAACACAATGAAGTATTTAGAACAATTTGGTCGATTAAAGACTACAAGATTTTCTTCACTCTTCCCATTTACTTGAAGGACTTCCTATGAACTCTGAAAAGCTACAGAAAAAATATTTTGGGTTTTCTTGATGGGAATAAAAATCACTACATCTTTCCTTGAGATCCTTCCACCTCTCCTCAATCTTTGTATCCAATCTTTGTCTCAATTTACTGTCATTGTTATGTCTCAGGTTGTCACTGTTACATGCTATCAAGTTGAGTCAACTCATAGAGACCCTAGGAAAAACCAAATCTAAACCCTATTCTATCCTTACCATATCAGACACACTTGTCTCCATTGCTGCAAACACTATGTGAATCCAACTTGTTGAGGGTCTTCCTTTCCTTCACTGACCCTCTACTTTCCCTTGCCGAGGAATAGCTCTTATAACCACATGACCAAATTATCTGAGATGAAGCTTCACCGTCCTTGCTGAGCACTCTGGCTGCACTTTTTTTTACAAGATCTATCTATTTGTTCTTTTAATAGCCCATGAGATAATCAGCACTCTTCTTCAACACCACAACCCAAAAGTCAATGATTCTTCTTCTGCCATGCTTATTCACTGTTTAGCTCTTAGATGCATAGGAGGGGATTGGAAAGTCTGTGGCTTGAATTAGGTGCATCTCAGTCTTTAAACTGACAGCATTGCTCTTCAAGACTGTGGAGAAGCGCTTGACAAATTTGCCCAACGTAACACATCTTCTGACCTCTTGAGTGCTAGTACCAAGGGTGATGTTGTTGTTCTTTAAGATGAAAACATTGAAAATTTCAATCTTTTCTCCACCTATATATATTGGCCCAGTGGTAAGGATTTTTCTTTTCTTTTTGCATATTATATATATTTATTCTCAATAGAAACTATATTTATTAATACATAGAATATACTTATGCTAAATAACAATGTGCAAAATCAACTCTAATCAGCTTTAGATTATATTAATAGTAAAACATAATAGAAAAATGGAAAATATAAATCACTTCTAATAAATTTTCAAAGCACAAATTATCTTTACCCCAAAACTAACTCTTATGCATCCACTTCCATAATAGCTTGCCTCCAGACAACCCTATGAACCTGCAGAGAGGATGAAAGTCACACAAGTGTTGAGGACTTTCCTTCATAGGGTTGCTATGAGTCTCCTATGACTCAACTGCACTTAACAACAACAACAACATCACTATTCTTTAATTTTTTTAGATAAAGTAATGAACTTTTAACTTAATTTTGTTTTCTATAAAAATACAGGCAAATAATTTTATAATTTTTTTATTTTCAGATGGTAGCAAAAACATATTTTACAAATATGTTTAGATTTTAGGCTACTTTTAGCATTTTATAATCCATTCTTAGAAATTTCACTCACCATTACTCTTTAATAAGCTTAGTTCCAATTTTTATTGAGCCTTGCCTTTATTATTATTTCACAAATCTATTTCTTAAAAAATAGTACTTTATTTCTTGCTCCATTCAGGAACTCTGGTTGAAGTAGAAGTTCCTATCTGCTATGGCAATAAGAAAGGATATTACTTCCAATGGCCTCTATCAGTTTCATTTATCATAGCTATGTGTGACACTGAGGCATTGCAAGGCATCAATGGATAGGGTATGTTACCCTTCTACAGATTAACTGAGAACAATAGATAAGAAGTACAACCCACCAATCCTAGTGTTTTAGTTAGTATATTTTATCTCTCGTTGCCATTGAGTCAGAATCTGCTCATAGCTAAACTCAGTGGTTTTTGAAGACTATAAATCAGTCAGTTGAAAACTGCTAATTTTTTGCCTCAGAAACCACTGGTGAGACTCATTGTGACATTATGTACAGTATTTCTGAAGCCTGTCCTATCTTGAGTAATTCTTACCTACTCTGACATACCTACCCTATTACCCCAGTCACTTTATCAGTCCACCTCATGCAGGGTCTTCCTTTCCTGTGCTGTCCCTCCACCCATCCAAGCATGATGTCCTTCTCCAAGGACTGGTCCCTCCTGGTAGCATGCTGTTGAGATGTAACTCATATTGAAGGGTGCATTCCTTGATATTCTGAAGCAAACACCTCAAGTTCTTCTCACTTTCAGCTACTAAGGTTATGCTATCTGCATAACATAGATGGTTGTTGAGTCTTCTTCCAATCCTTATGCCACATTCTTCTTCATAAAGTCTAACTTCTCTAATCACTTACTCTGCATGCAAATGGAATAGTATGCTACCTGTTTCACACTGATGCAACCTGTAACCCTCTGCAACCCTGATACACACCTTTATTTTTTTAAAAAAATTTAAATATGTATTATTTTTTTTTCTCTGGACAACAGCTTCTTGGTCTAGGCATAGATTTTATATAAACATAATTAAAATGTTTTGAATTTCTATTCTTCTCAATGTTTGTTATGATCCACACAATCAAATGCCTTTGCATAGATGATAAGACATAGACATTTTTTTCTGATGTTCTCTTCTTTCAGTGAGAAGCCATCTGATATTAGCAATGATACCCCTGGTGCCATGACCTCTTCTAAATCCAGCTTGTATGTCTGGCAGTATGTCAATGTATTAACTGTTTGAATAATCTTCAGCAATATTTTGCTTGCATGAGGTATTAATGATATTGTTACATAATTTCCAAATTCTGTTGAATCGCCTTTCTTGAGAATATGAACAAATATGAATCTCTTCCAGTAAGTTGGCCAAATCTTCCAAAATTTCTTGTACAGACTAGTAAGCACATCCAGAGCTGCATTGAAACATGCCTATCGTTATCCTGTTGATTCCTGGGGTCTTATTTATTGCCAATGCCTTCTGTGCAACTCCAACTTCTTCCTTCATTACCATTGTCTCTTTATCATATGCTACTTCCTGAAATATTTCAGTGTCAACCAATTCTTTTTGGTACAGTGACTCTGTTTATCCCCTCCATCTTTTTTTGATGCTTCCTGGATCATTCAATATTTTGCCCATAGCATTTCTCAGTATTGCAATTAGAGGCTTGAATTTGTTTTTCAGTTCTCTCAGCTCAAGAAATGGTGAGTGACTGGAAGGCAGTTTAACATTTCCTCAAAAAACTGAACATAAAAATTCCACATACCTAGCTATTCCACTGTTTGGGATATACCCTGAGAAAATGAGAACTGAGGCATAAATGGGGACTTGTTCACTAATATTCATAGCAGCATTATTCACCATCACAAGAACATAAAAACAGTCCAAATGTCCAAACACAATTAAACGGATTGAGAAATTATGGTACACTTATACAATGGAATACTATGCAGCACGCAGGAACAATGATTTTGTAAATCATTACCTAACTTGGGAGGGACTGGAGAACATTATGCTAAGTGAACTAACTCAGTCCCATAAGGACAAATACTGTATAAGATCATTATAGAACAGGTATGAAGATCCAAGGAGTGGGGAAGGATGGTATCAGAAGGGTAATGATGGGCAGGGAGGAGATGAATCATAGGGTCATACAATTTGATGGGAGGAGGGAAGAAGGTTATGGGAAACAGGAAAGATTCAATGTGAAAAACAAGGTATTTGAACTTTGTAAGTAAGCCAGTATAAAATAAAAATTTTATTTAGATTAAAAAATGAAAAATAAATGGAGAGTGAGTTCTTCCTGTTTTATTCTCTAACATTAGCTTTTAGCACATTTCTTCGTAAGGTGTTGCTTTGTCTTCTGGAGCTACCCTTTGAAATCTTGCATTCATCTCTTTTACTCCAGCATCCCTTCCCTTTGTTTTGGATTCTTAATGCTCTAGTGCAATTTTCAGAGTCTCTTCTGATATTCATATTGGTTTTTTCTTACTCCTCTACCTTTGTAATGACCTTTTGCTCTGTTCATTGATAATATCTTTGACACCATCCCACAATTCATCTGATCTTCAATCATTATATATTAAATTCAGGTGGACTAGGCCTAAGGTTGTATTTTGGTTCTTGTGGGACATGGTGTTAAAGTAACAGGCAAATGGCCCTCCACATTTTGGGAGAAATTTGCTTTCAGACTGTTTTCCAATTGAATGTTTGCTAGTCTCTTAAGATTTCAGAGCAAAATTAATAAGCCAAATAATTTGCTTTTCCTATAGGTCAGCTAACTATGGAATGTGAGCCAAATCTAGCCTACTGTCTCTTTTTTTGTAAATAAAGATGCATTGGCAAAAACCAACTTTTACAGTCGGAGACAGATCGAACATGCAATCAAGATGCATTGATAATAATGGGTGACTGGAATGCAAAAGTTGGGAACAGAGAAGAAGAATCAGTAGTCGGAAAACATG